TATAGTTTCTTAAATGAGAAAATTTGGGTTTCTGATCTTGCCAAGCCACTGAAAGATTCTTAGTAAACTGTTCGTTCTTGTACTTTTCATCCGTGGCTAGGTAGAAGTCAAAACAAAAGAAAACAAATGTCTTTTTCTAGAAGTTAGAAAAAAAGTCATTCAAAACCCCCATAGAAAGAAATAGAGGATATGACCTAGCACTTTTCAGAGAGAAAGATTGTCACCGATATTTTAAAGATGTAAGAAGCAAACGGGAGCTGTTTTGCCACCCTGGCTTGCTGTCCTCTGCTGGGTGTTTAGGGAATGGTTGTCTTTATTTCTATTTTATACCATTATTTAACTACAGGCACAGCTTCTGCATTTTACAATAAAGCCCAGTCTTGGAGAGTCATGGCTGAATAATGATAAGAAGCATTTTCTAAGAAAGGCCAAGCGAATTCAGTAAATTTTGCTTAAACGTTTTCAAAAAATTGTAAATGGAGAACGAAATACGGAAGTGGTTTTTCCAAATGCCTTTTTGTTTCTGACCACTGGATGGTTTTGCACAAAAGTGACCTCGCTTGTTCAAAGTCATCATTCATCATTGTAAGTAACAGCAGGCGCGAGAAGCCGTAAACGGTGGCTGGGTGCGGCCCTGCGCCAGCATTTCAGACGCCAGCTCACTCAGTTTGCATAGCAGCCCTCCGAAGGAAATAGAATCGTCCCCATTTCATAGATGAAGAAGTGAGACCTAGACAAGTTAAATAGTGCCCAGTGTCACAGAGTTAGAAAGTGGCAGCAGGTGGGATTCAAACCCCAGTCTCCCTGATGGAGCATCTGGGCTACTCAGTGCCAGGACCAGCTCTCACCTGAGATGATTTACACCAGGGCATTTGCCTCCCTAGGTGACTATAAAGAGCACGCTGGAACACAGGGGGACCTTGTTTGTTCAGGAGGGCAAATCACAGGACGAGTGTTTTGCCCATCCTGGTAGTTGCAGTGTGAGCTAGCTCAGACTATGGGTAATCCAGATAATTTTACAATGTTACTGAAAAGAAAGAAAGAACTCCAAAAACGGCCTGTATTCATGGGTCGTATTAAATATGTAGACTGATTTTGAAGTTAGTGCCTGTAAGTGACACTCAGATTTGTGTAAAATTGTGCCATACTGTTGGATAGCCACGATCACCCTGACCAGTTACAAAGGTTTCCATCAGCCTGACCTTGGGCTCGTGGGCAGCTCTGAACAGATGCGTCCTTTCTGCTGTCTCCTCTGGTTAACCTCTGGAAAATAGTTTGTGTCTCTGTGAGGAAAACCTATTGACTCGCAGAGCTTCTGTTTCAATTTGTGATCCTTGGGTTCTATACACCTTGCTGGTAGCATTTGATATGAATTCTGTCTCCCTGGAGACTAGATTTGGGGAACAGTCTCTGGCAATGCTTATCATCTGTAGTCTAATACAGATCTGTGGGAACTAAAATGAGCTGCTAAAAGTCCAGTAGATGCACCCTTGTTCTCACATGGTGAAACCAGTGCTGGTGGAAGATTACATATTAATATCATGTTCAGCATGTAATATGAACCAATATATGAATGTGTTTTTAACAACAAATCACCATGGTTTTTCATCATTACAGCAAATAATGAAATCTTAGTACTTTGTACTTAATCAACGAAATTAATTTAATGTGGGAGATATGTTTTTTCCAGAGCTTAACCCTCTAAATAGGTAATAGGTGAATAGCCTTTGATTTGTGTCCTTCTTATTTCACTAGTTAATGATAACGTATGTTAACATTTATAATATTGCTCTAGGAGACCCTTGAGTATTTCATTAAATTACATTTGAGGCATTTTATTAAATTATACTGGCTTTGTATAAAATGAAGTAAATTTGGTTAAATTGATTGTATATCTAATTAAGGTGAAATTATAAAAATAACCATAGAGTTACTGTGTGCTGCCTCTACCAAGTGCTTTATATTAATTCTTTCTCAGGTGTTGCTTAAAACAACCTAAAAAGTCAAGGTTATTATTGTTCCCAGTTATAGATGAGGATACCTGGGCTTTAAAAGGTTAAGTCACTTGCTAACAAGTGGTGAATGGGGGTTTGAATTCACTATGCTTAGGTAGTTGATATGTGTCGGGGCTGTGATGTCTTTCTTAACTGTCTCTTACTTTCATAGCATTGTCAATCCTGCACCTGCTCACAGCTTTTCTTTTTTTTTTTGTTAGAATTTCAAAATTAAATCTGAATCCACACCTCTACACACTGGCTGAGGGTACATCTTCACTGTACTCTGTGTTCTGGAGAAAACTACTTATTTCATTCATGGGTAGAGATAGCACAAAGGAAATAACAGTTAAGAGGGCAAAATTAGGGCAGTGCTGTGCACGGTAATGCTCTGTAACTGGTTAACTGATATAACTGAGCAGGGGCTAGGAGCTGGGGGTCTAGCGTGAATGCCAAGTCCAGGGCTCTGCCCTCTAATTGTGTGGTCTGGAGAAGGTCACCAATGAGGCAGCATCATTAGATCAACAGGTACTGAGTAATGAGCACAGTAATGAGCACAACCAGACAGAAAGTACTGGGAGATTCAGGAACCCCTCGGAAGGACATCTACCCTAGATGTGGGAGTTAAAAAAAAAAGACCATAGACCTTAAACTGATAAGACTTGTTTACCAAGAACTACCCAGCAGGAAGGAAGGAGGCTATTGTTTCCCAGTCAGAGGCTGAGCCGCCACGTCTCATCTTCTCACCATATCAGGGTGACCCTTCGGACACAGGGACATCCTGAGATGAGACTTCTGAGAATTGCCCGTGGTCAACCGGGGAGAGAGCCTGCTGACACCAGTTAGAGAGGACACCTAGTGAATGCTCATTGTGGCGGTGGGGTGGGGAAGGAATGTCAGTAAACATAAAAGAAGCTGATTAAAAGGGATCATAGTGTGTGCCCCCATACACTATTAAGATTTATCATTTTGTGAAACTTTAAAATGTTCTAACTACTAATATTTAGTACTTTCTGAATATGGAGGGATTGATTTCTTCCCTCAAGGAGAAAGTTGAGAAAGACATCCATGCGAGACAGTCCAGCTTAGGTGGGGCGCCCTGGTTCCCAGCTGGAAAAGTCGAAGGGCCACATCAAGAATGACCTTTCTGTGTGCTCAGAAGTTTGGGCTTTATCCTGAGGAAAGTGGAGAGTGAGTGAAGGTCTCAGAATCCATTCACAGCATTTCTGGTGCTCCCCACGGTGCTTCACATGGTTCTCTTCCTCCGCGCTAGCCCTGATGGAGTGTACCCTGGTTCTGTCCTCAGAAATCTCCCCACTCCCAGGGCCTCTGCCTGGCAGTCTCCTCTATCCCCATGGCTTTACCTATCCCTGATGCTTCCCAGATGGGTTTCTCTAAGTCTGCTCCCTTTTCCCTGCAGCATTCCCACATACCTTGTGTGTGTTGCCTCCGGACACTCTGCACAGCCTCGCATTCATCACGCAAAGCTGAACCTGTCTTTCCCCCCAATTTTCCATTTATCCTGTATTTCCCTGCCTGTGGAAAGCATCTTTCTACCTAGAGAACCATGTACATAAAAGTCTCTCCCTCAAGTGGGAGCTAAATGCCACTGAGTCCAGTTCCTTAACATCCAGTTCCTGTGCCTCTTGTCTGCCATCACTGAGACTCTTTGGTGAGAGAGAGCCAGCTGTCTTTTCCACTGCTGGTCTTCCCATCCCTCCAAGCCACCCTCCAAACTTCTAGAAGTGACCTTTGGAAAGGTAAGTCAGTTCTGTGGCTGCCTAAACCCCCATGACTCTCTAGGCATGGAGGCCAGCCTCCCCCTCCAGCCAAGGACCCTCATCCTGCCTCCCAGCGCCCTGCATTCCATCCAGCCTTGTTCAGCTTGCTGTCACCTCATCTAACTCCTTGGTGTTCCCTGAGGACATGTGCAGTTTGGCTCTCATGCCTCTCTCTGGTGCCCCTGCCTTCTGTCCTACCCCCTGACTCCTGACATTTTTTTCAAACCTCTATTCAAGGAAAAACCTTTGAGAAACCATTTCTGACCATGATAGTAATAGTACTATCCCAGTAATGGTAGCAGATATTTACATAGTGGTTACTGCATGCCAGCCATTGTTCTAAGAACTTTAGTTGTATTAACTTATCTTGTCTAAGTTTTACACAGGGGGAAACTGAGGCATAGGGTGCTTAAATAACCTGCCCAAAGTCATATAACTAATAAGTAACAGAGCCAGGGTTCAAACTCAGAGTCTACGCTCTTAGCCACTGTGGGGCTGTGGCCTCACGCCATGCTTTGCTGGCCATCACTCCTGGCTCTGGGAGTATCTGCCTCCATGACAGAAGCACAAGTCTCAGCAGGATGGGAAACAGGTTGTATTGGTCTTGGTGCCCCCAAGGCTTAGCACACATCCCGGCCACAGAGGCAGGGTCAAATTCTTGCAGACCGTGTCTAACTGTGCTTCTTGTCAGCTGCTAATAGGTCTTGCAGACTTTGGTGCTGTGCGCCAGCTTCAAACTGTAGGGATAAGGATGAAAGATCCAAGAGGTAGTTCTGGAATTCAGGGTCATCAGGAATGTTTAGGACTCTGCTATAATGATTGCAGCCTCCCTGCCCAGGATTTCTGAATTGACTGTGGTCAAGATGAGGGTGAGTCTTTGCTGGATTGACTGGTAGGAAGGGCATCTCCCATCCTCACGGGATCAGTGAGTAATTGTGCTATCGCCTTAAGGAGTTAAAAATAAAAACGACCACTACATAATTTGAACATGTAAAGCTAGGTATATTGTGCTCAGGGCATATGCATATTATTATGTCCAGTGTTCAGATGAGAAAACTGAGGCTCAGGGAGGGAAAGTAACTCCCCTAGTCCTGTTAGTAGGGTAACCTGCCTCCCAGTGTTATCTTCAAAGATGATTTTTTTGTTTATTGTGAGAAGAAAGAATGTTGGTGAAATTTGCTGGATTTTGTGCTTTTAAAGGGCACATCTCTCACATGTGTTGCAGGTGGAAAGCGAGACCAACGTCCTGCAGGATGGCTCCCTCATTGACCTGTGTGGGGCCACTCTTCTCTGGAGAACAGCAGACGGCCTTTTTCATACCCCAACTCAGAAGCACATAGAAGCCCTGCGGCAGGAGATCAACGCTGCGCGCCCGCAGTGCCCCGTGGGGCTCAACACCCTGGCCTTCCCCAGCATCCACCGGAAAGAGGTGGTGGAGGAGAAGCAGCCCTGGGCGTATCTCAGCTGTGGCCACGTGCACGGGTACCACAACTGGGGCCATCGCAGCGACACGGAGGCCAACGAGAGAGAGTGTCCCATGTGCAGAACTGTGGGCCCCTATGTGCCTCTGTGGCTCGGCTGTGAGGCGGGATTTTACGTCGATGCAGGACCGCCAACCCATGCTTTCACCCCCTGTGGACACGTGTGCTCGGAGAAGTCTGCAAAGTATTGGTCCCAGATCCCGTTGCCTCACGGAACGCATGCGTTTCACGCTGCCTGCCCTTTCTGTGCGACGCAGCTGGTCGGGGAGCAGAACTGCATCAAATTAATTTTCCAAGGCCCAGTTGACTGACGCCCTTGACAGCCATCTACGACTTTATTAACAAGTTACTGTGAAGATTTTGCCACTAACTCTAGATTTTACCTTTTTGTAATGTTGTTTATTAAGGGCAGGGGGGACAGGGGCTGGGAGAAAAGAGGGACTTGGTGATGAAACAGGCAGGAGTTGAACAGATCCTGGTGGTGTGTTGCATGCTCCAGACAGCGGCATCGTCATTGACGTCTGCTTGAATAAACCTTAATATCTTTGTAATAATTGGATTTACAATGCCATGCTTTTATTTTTAACCTTGGGTTTTTAACCAGGTTTCTTTCTTTTTATAAACTTGGACAAGATTTTAAATCATATTTTACAAATGTAGAAGAAATGTATTCAAAAGTTGCTGACTCTTAATGTGTGACCTTCAGTGCTGCGTGGTACCGTGTTACCAAAAGACACGTGATGTCCAGAAATACTTGACAGCGGCTAGAATCAGACCATATAACCAAGGGGCAGCTCTAGACAATTGGGTTGGTAGACAGGAGACCTTAGGCACAGGTGGTGGTTCTGAAATCTGGGGCATTTTTCTAATTTTTTTTTCTGACTTTTTGGGAGAGAGAATATTCATTTATTGTTGTGGGCCTTTTAAACACTTCAATGGAATTGATGCACTTACTCGTCAAAGAATTTTCCACACGTTTTTAATCTGCCTTTTGTTGTTTCTGCCTAATATGGCTTGTCCCTGACACTCACCTTGCATGGCCAGAACTGTTTGGTGGATTAAAATATATTAGCTCTTAAAAATTATTTAACTGAGGGTGATTATTACAGCAGCCAGTATGGCCTAGGTACTATACTACCATGTTTTTTGGTTACTGGATTGTTTAAAATTTAAGAATGGTCACAAATAAGCTTTTCCTTTTAAAAACCACTTGTTGGTGTTTTATAACGTTTGGTTTTTTGTTTTTGTTTTTTTTCTTCCTTAAGAAAGCCAAAATTGTGCAAGCCTAAAAGCAACAAATCACAATAAGTCATTTTTGTTCACTCCCTTTTCACCATCTGTCACCTTTCCTTGCAGCTTAAGGAGCCTTGTAATTTTTGAAAATGTTCGCAAATCCAACGAAATTCAAATGTGATCATTAGATATACACAACACCAAGTGGTACATCTGCAGAGATAATTTGAAATTCCTGACTTTGGGAGAACAAATGAGTGCTTACTGAGGAATAATTAAATCAGAATTTCATATGAGCCCTGCCATCCTTCTCTTTTAGTTTTATTTCATTTTGATTAATAGCTCTTGGATGCTCATTCTCTGTGCTCAGCGCCACTAAGGTCACTAGTTGCAGAGTGTAAAGATCCTTTAGGACACAAGACTGGTAGATGCTGGCTGAGATAAAATAAACCCCTGCATCATAGAGCAAATATTTATTTAAACTAACACTCTCTGAAATTGACTATTGCAGTTTTGGGCAACATTTTTTACCTTTGTAAATATATATAATTTATATGATTCTAATATGCCATTTCCATACTTGAATTGGCTTTTCCATATTTTGCCTACTGGCAAGTATTTTACCTATTTTCAGTCATCTGAACCTATTTGAAGACCCTTTTCCTTAAAGTGATAAGATATGTTACTCTTGATTGCTGCTGCTTAATCTGACTTAATATTTAAAAGTTTGACCTCTCCCTTTTAAAATAGCTTTACTTTTCAATGGAGATCGTTGTTTAGGATGAGGCATTTTGGGTTTCAATGATGTGAAAATCCCCACAACAAATCCTCTTGCTGACAACTTCCTCTGTTCTATATAGCATTAAAAAAATGAAAGAACAAAATGGACTTGCCTAGAACAATACATCGAATGCATTGTGATTTAGCCAGTGTCTAATGATTAGCTTTCACTGATAGAGTCTCTACAGCCTGTGATTCTTTGGGCTCCAGAGAATGCCAAGGAAAAGGCACTCGTTCCCTTTTCTTGCTATGTGGCTAGAAGGTAGTTTAAGGGTTCTTGATACCCTAGAAGCATGTTGTAAGGTACATGGTCTTGCATCCAGAAAGGCCAAATTTTACCTCCCGAAAAGATACATATTTTTTCAGAAAGTTACGTGTATCACAAATTTCCATTTCAAGAACTATATATAAACCTAGTAGTTCTGCATGTGCATATGCCCCAAAATAAAGTTATCTTCCAACCTGAAAAGTTCTTGACTTTGAGTAAGCTCGATAGCTTAAGTGTAAGTTGAAATCTGGGTGACAGTGTCCAAGCTCTTAGAAAGGGTAACAGTGGACTGCTCTCTATTAGCTCCACGTCTTTTCCTTTGGCTTCCAAGTGAGATCCTCTCCCACCTCCCCGCCTGAGGAACTACAGAGAGGTGGCAAGTCAGCAAAAAGGAAACCACGCTCATCTCGGCCATGTGTAGTAAGACCCCTTTATCATTTTGACTAACGAGATTTTTTTCCCCAGAGTTGAAAGCAGTTTAGTTTGTGAGGATAAAGAACTTCTAGCTCTCCGGAGCAGAGTAATGCAGTTCAGAAAAGGTAACTTCTGAAAGGCCACTTCTGTTTTTATGTCTTGCTTGCCATCACATTGAAGGATGAGCCCCATTCCCCCACGTGTGTACATAGGGACATTGCTGACCGATTATCTTGGTCTTGGCCTGACTGAAATGCCTTTTGCAAGTAGGTTTCTGGAAGTAAAACCCCAGTGATGTATTCCCATGGAAGTATTTTCTTTTCCGTTGTTTGTGTCCGTTTACTACAAAAAGAAATGATTCAGGGTGGATGGAGTACAACTCTGAGTATTTTTCTAGTCCAGATGTTTTTATTATTAATGATCGGTGCTGCCGGGTCATGCATGCCGCAAGTCTCAACGTTCCCCTTATTTGGTTCAGCTTTTTGTAAAAGGGCTACAGTTCACACTGCAGAGTAAGTATTAAACTTCCTGAACTTTTTTTCCCCCAACGGTGGCCCAAAAGAATTAAAATCTGTTGATATAAATAGAGAGCATATTTATCATTCCTCAATAGTTAATTATAGTGTTTGGTACCTTTGTGCCTCAGGGAAGCCACGTGATATAACTGGTTATAGAATTTCAGGGTTAGGGTTTAGAGAAAGGAGAAAGCCATTGGAAAAATGATGGGCTCCATTAAGGAGACTAATGAATCTGGATGCAGAAATATGCCAGGAACTGGCATAAGCATGATTGTAGCAGAATTTATTTTCCAGTACCAATAGGAAAATTATTTTAAGTTATTACATATAGTGTATTGGGAAAGTTGAGGAGAACTCTTTTCTTCTTAAAGCTTCAATGCCTTTTTTTAATAGAAAAACTCAAACCTCTGTTATTTGGGAGCTCAGTATTGTTCTGTGGACACTTTTGAGCATTTAAGGAGCATGTTTTCTACTTAATTTAAGTGTAGTATGGGTTATAGAATTTTTGCTAAACTTCTTTTCTTTTTTTTCTTTTCTTTATTTTTTGAGTTGGAGTCTCACTCTGTCGCCCAGACTGGAGTGCAGCCGCCGCTCCCGGCCACCGCAGCCTCGACCTGCTGGGCTCTGGCGATCCTTCCGCCTCAGCCTTCCAAGTAGCTGGAACTATAGGTGCGCACTACCACGCCCAGCTAATTTTTTGATTTATTGTAGAGATGAGGTCCTGCCAAGTTGCCCAGGTGGGTCTCAAACCCACAGGCTCAGGCAATCCACTCACCTCAGCCTTCCAAAGCATGGGATTACAGGCTGAACCACTGAACCTGCACTTTTTAAATTCATTCTCTTCTTTGGATGTGCATAAAAGAGTGTGGGATCACAATGTTGTCAACACTTGGTAAAAACTAGTTATCTTCATGTAATCTTGCCTCATGATGGGATTTCTGATAGACAAACCATGGGACCTCGATTTTAAGCCAAATTGAGCTCCATTTGCTTGGCTGTTGCTCTTATATCCCAATAGTTCAGTCTTTGCAGGCTAAGGGTATGGTGTTCCTCCTCCTGTGCTGGGAATAGAGCATGACTCTGATGCCATTTCTTTATGACCCAAAGGCCAATGAGACAACTTCATGATCTTTTTTAAGAGAATGCAAGCATTATCGAAGCAGTAAAAAAAGGCTCAGTTTTTTCCTTTTAGTAAAACATATGTCCTTTCAAGTAAGTTTTTGCCCTCATGAGGACTCTCGAGAGGAAGATTGGGAAAAACAATATTTTTCCAGTTCTACCTAGCTGTTCCTAAACATGTTTCCAAACAAAAATAAACTCGATGAAAGGAAGGATGTTTCTTCTTAGCTGAGATGACAGATTGCTTCTCTGTATTAAATAGTCTAGAAGTAAAGAGGTGGTCATATTAAAATGAATTGTGTTATCAGCAGTTAAATTTTATGAATATATTTGTAAAATTGTTCTTTTATATTTCATGTCAAATTGAAAAGTTTATTTCTTCACTATTGTACCTGTGGAAATACAAGCCATTTTACAGGAAAAATCTCAAAAACTATTAAAAGGATCTTAGTCTGTTTGTGAATTTTTGTCTTCAGACTCTGTGGTTGTCCCAGAGTTCATCAGGACATTCAACAGGAAGCTGATACAAAAGTATAGTTGATTTTTGCATTTCTCTAATTTTCAAGTTAATCCCAAACAACAGAGTTTATTATTAATTGCTATATACATTGTACAATATATATTTAAATCTAGATTCTGAAAATCCCCTAAGTTTTTTTATTAAAGAAATTCCTCTGGTGCTCATATTACTATTTCTTGTGGCATTACATCACTGTCAAAAACAAATCTAACTTTCAGGAGAATTTAACCCGGCTTGTAGAATTAATGGATTTTCTTCATGAACATTTCAGTCATATTGCTACTTTAGTGAAAGTCTTCATTCACTTTTAATAACATAATAAGGAATGTGTACGAGTCTTCAAGGCTGAAACTAATATATCTATCATAATAAAATATATGTATTTATGACAGTTTTTTTCTTATTACATTGATAACCAAGGAGTCTTAGTATTATTGAGAGAAATGGATTTCTCATTTCCAAAAAGAAATGCGTATTTATTAGGCTTTTATTTCAGGGCATAAGTGCTTTATACATCACAAACCTAAGATGTCATGAATTGTAAGAAAAGATGTGTTATAGAAAACCCCAGCCAGTTAACAATTAATTGTAAGATACATTCCATTAGACAAGGATACCAAGACTATTTGGTGGGGAAATAATCTGTTTCCAACAGATGGAGCTGGAACAGTTAGATACCCAGATGCAAAAGAAAGTTGAACTCCTAC